GCGGTGTGTTCTGACAAAGGATTCTTTTGATTCTTTTGAAATGAACACTTCTCTCCTAGCGCACACTTGCGAATCCCCAAAGGCAAGAAGTCCTCCTTGTCCTTGGTCCATTCCACCTGGAGAAAACATCATCTCGAAGCCTGGGCTTTTATCATGTCAGCTCTGCTATGATTTAACGTCAAAGGGAAGAACTTTTTTTCAGGGCACAAACGCATTTTGCATGTCTTTTTTGTTTAGTTTGTTCCCATCTTAGAAAAATAAGGTTCCGATGATTTTTGTATACGTTTAATACGGCAGCAATAAAATATCCATCATCACAGAAATTCCAAGAGGAAGAAAAATGAATAGGCACTCTGTCCCTTCCTTCCACAACATCGTGCATGTACTCTAACTTCCGTTACTTGGGAGAACTGTAGCAAATTTTTTCCCCTTGGAACCAGGACAGCATGTCACTTTCCACATCAGAGTGGCTCAATGGTATTCTCAGATCTCAGCGATATATAGACAGAACAAGGGCAGTTTATGGGATTCAGACAGAAGGGTGAGTACTGGAAGGAATCCATCGGAAAGTGGGGTCTTCCAGTCTGCCTTTTACAATACAAAGAATAACAAGTATTTTTCTAATACTCTAATTCTTGGGAAATTAATTTAAGGCTGGGTAGAAAACTTCCCTCAGGTGTTTGACTTAAAAGTGAAGAGTTTTGCTCTGCAAACAGAATTAAATAGATATAGATAGATACAGACATAAGAATTAAATAGATATAGATAAACTAGGGGCCCAGTGCACAAATTCGTGCACCTTGAAAAGAACTGTGCGCCACAAGGCTGTGGTGGGCACAGGGGCGGGTCTCGGCCCATCCTCCACACCCCCTCCTGGCCCCTGGTCCCCTGTCTGCTGGCAGCCCCGCTCCCGCCACTGCAGCTCCCACATAGTGACAGCACCCACCCCATTTGCACCCGCTGGTGGCGCGGAGTGATTGGGACCAGCACCAGCAGTGGGGGCAAGTGGGGCCGGCACTGTCAGCGGATGTGAGCAGCAGCTACTGCCCCGATTGCCTCTCAGGAGCAGGAGGAGGTAGAGAAGCCCTCAGCGGTGATTCAGGCTGGCGCCAGGCACCAGCAACAGGTGTGAGCAGCAGCTGTGGCACTGGCTCCAGGTGTGAGCAGTGGGTGGGACTGCAGCACATGGGAGCAAAGAATTTACAGTAATCACCAGAGGCTCACCCCAATGACAGCGACCAGCCTTGGTTTGGTGTCCCCGCCCACCTGCTCCACCATCCCACCGCGGCTGATGCCCACCAAGTTCTGTGCTCTGCCTCCTACTGCTGACGCCCGCCATGTTCCGCACATACCCCCTGGTGGTTAGCGTACATCATAGTGACCAGTTGTTCGGTTGTTCTGCGTTCGGTCTATTTGCATATTAGCCTTTTATTAAATAGGATAAGACATTGGTATAGATGGTACTTGCAAGTGACACCATCAAGAAAGTGAACAAACCCAAACATATTCTGATGAGACTTGTACCCAGAATGCATAAAGAACTCTTACAACTCAATATGAAAAGACAAATTTTAAAATGAGCAAAAGATTTGAATAGCTATTCTTTAAAGACGATATACAAATGGACAATAAGCACATGAAGAGATGCTCAACATCATTAGTCATTAGAGAAATTCAAATCAGAACAATGATATTCAATTTTACACCCGTAGGATGTTTAAAAGGCAGATAGTGACAAGTTTTAGAGAAATTGGAACCCTCATGTATTGCTGGTAGGAATGTGAAATAGTGCCACTGCTTTAGAAAACTACCTGGCAATTCTTCAAAAAGTTCAGCATAGTTACCTGTGTGACTCAGAAATTCCGCTCCTAAATATATATGTACATTTTTTTAAGAGAAATGAGCATGTATCCACGTTATAATTTATATATACATATGTTCATAGCAGCATTATTTATGATAGCCAAAAGGTGGGAACAACTCAAATGTCCATCAACTCGTGGATGGGTAAACAAAATGTAGTATGTTCCTACAATGAAATATTATTTGGCAATGCAAAGGAAGAACCACTGATAACATGCTGCAACATGGACAATCCTAGTAAACATGCTAAGTGAAAGCTGCCAGACCACAAAATACCATTTATTGCATGCTTCCATTTACACGAAGGCAAATTTATAGAGCCAGAAAGTAGGTTAGTGGTGAGTTAGGGATGGGAGGGTGGCTAGGGAGGCAAGAAGAAATGGGGAGTGGCTGATAAAGTGTTATGAGGTTTCTTTTAGATGAGGTAAAAATATTCTAAGATTAGATTGTGATGATGATTGTGAAATCCTGTGAATATACTAAAAACTTTTCATTATACACTGCATATGTGTGAATTTTATGGTATGTGCATTAAATCTCAATAAAGCTCTTTAAAAAAAAATTAACAAATTAGGCCCGTTTCCTCCTCAAGTGTTATGGTATTCAGACAAAAAACAGCAACAAAAAAAACAAAGTAAATGAAATAAGTTCATTTTGATATAGCTGGTATGCATGCCAGACTTTAATTGAGAATTGTTTTAAAAGAGATAACCTGAATTTTATTTCCTTAACATATAGAGACCATGAATAAAGAAACCTTTTGAACCTTCACATTTTTATCCTTATTTGCAGAGGCATGTCTATGTTTAAAATAATGTATAACTTCTTTTCATTACATATGTTTTCTCTTAAACTATAACAGTTCTTTTTGTTGTTGTTGTTCTTTTTTAGCCACAACAAGTTGTTCAGAAGAAGCCTGCTCAGGTAAGAGATGGTCATTATGAGTTTTCCTCCCAATTAATATAAAAAGTAAAGTGAAAAACAAGGCCCCAAATTAAACCTTTAATTCATAGTTTTCTGGTTGGATTACATCAGCATTACGGTATTCTTGACAGTTTGTTGTGTCCTTCAGAAAACGTCAGAAATGCACAGTCGGAGATTGTCATTAAAAATCCTACACAATCAAGACCTTTGCTTAAGTGCACCAGGCAAAGGTTTAAGAATAAAGTGTTTATTTCAGTGCCTTGTGTATAAAACATATCAAATTGCATGTGTTTTACCCATCCTTAAACATCTAATTGTGTTCTTTCCACCTAACTATCCATGTTCCATTGACTTGATGTGGGACTTATTAGCTGCAAAATAGTTCATGATTCATGACTGGAAACATATCTGTTTGTTGAACAATACATAGCATTAAATGATCCCCAAATGCCCCCCAGGGGAAACTGGGAAATTAAGTTACACTGGTTTTGCAGATTGATGATTCTCAGGTCTTGCTTCGATGACTGAGTCATAGTCTCTGAAGTCTTGGGATACATCAATATGAAGAACCAGCTTTCCTTCTCTTGTCCCATATGACTGGAATTCCTTGTCCTGACTGTAATCCATACTTGGAAACATAAGAATCATACTTACTGAGGAAGTATATCTTGAAGAAAGCAAAACTGAAGGATAAATTAATATATTGCCAAGTATGTGAGCTGTTATTAATGTATAAGGCTGTCCTGCTGCTCTCCCCTTCTGGGTTTAAGGCGAAGGTCAGGAGATCCAGGTGTATCATGCAGAACTAGCTGAAGTAAGTTATTAAGTAGCATCATGGGTTACCAAGTTCTTTGTAGATCTCTGTCACGTAATTTAAAATATATACGGGCCCTGGCCAGGTGGCTTAGTTGGATGGAGCATCGTCCTGTTGGTTTGATCCCCACTCAGAGCCAGCACGGGAGGAAACTGATGGATGTTTCTCTCTCTCTCTTTCTCTCCCCCTTCCTCTCTCTCTAAAATCAATAAATATATTCTGAGGTGAGGATAAAAACAAAATCTATGGACTCTTTTTCCTAGAGATTGCAAAAATGTATCTTGCCCCTGTTCTCTTAGGACAATGTCAACTTGCCTGGGAAAGATCACCCACATAATATTATGTGTTTACTGTTTTTATTTTATCTCATTAATATTTTTATTGATGTCAGAGAAGAAAGGAGAGGGAGAGAGAGAAAGAAATATTGACGAGAGAGAATCATTGATCAGCTCCCTCCTGCACACCCCACACTGGGAATTGAGTCCTCAACCTGGGCACATGCCCTGACAGGGAATCGAACAGTGACCTCCTGATTCATAGGTCAACACTCAACCACTGAGCAACACTGGCCAGGCAGTTTACTGTTTTTTAAGAATGCTGCTTAGAAGAGAATTGAAGCTTCTAAATATGTGTAAGCATGTAGAAAATATATATCCAAATAATTGCACATGTGCTTTAAGTAGAATAAAAGTAGAGTTACCATGAAAAAAAAATTATTCTCATGGCTGCTCCCATACCTAGAAGGTGAAAGTATTAGGAAGCACACACACAAAAAAAAATACCCAGTGTTTGAGTATTTGTACACAATATTAAGCAAAATGAAATAAAAACTTGACATTTTAAGTAGGACATACCAAATATATTGAGCCTCTCACCCTTTATCAGTAAGAAAATGAAGAGAAAGTGAATTTATATTTCTGTGCATTTGAGTCAAAAGATACTGCAGTGTTCACTGTTGCATCATAGGCTGTGAACCATAGCTTAGTACCCCTATGTGGTCTCTTGGCAACATCGATTCAGTTGCTATTCTTGGTGTTGCAGGGAAGATGTAGCAAACGAAAACAAGTCACTGTACCTAAGAAGTGTGTAATCTAGTTCAGAGGTTCTTAACCTCGTCTGCATAGTAGAATAACCTAGTGATTACACACATACACACAGTAGATCCCCCTTATCTGCAGGGGATACCTACCAAGACCACCAGTGGCCTGGCCAGCGTGGCTCAGTGGTTGAGCATTGACCTATGAACCAGGAGGTCATAGGTTTGATTCCCAGGTTGCGGGCTCAATCCCCAGTGTGGGGTGTGCGGAAGGCAGCTGATCAATGATTCTCTCTCATCATTGATGTTTCTATCTCTCTCTCCCTTCCTCTTCCTGATATCAATAAAAATATCCTTGATAATAAAGCCTAATATGCAACTGACCAAACAGCAAACCACTGGTCACTATGATACGCACTGACCACCAGGGGGTCAGTTTTGTGCACTGGCCTCTAGTATTAAATTTAAAAAAGACCACCAGTGGGCACCTGAAACTGGGGTAGTATTGAACCCTATTATATACTTGCACTATGTTTCCCCTTATATATACATTAGAGGCCTGGTGCACGAATTTATGCATGGGTGGGGTCCTTTGGCCTGGCGGGTGATCGGGGCTGATTGGGGCCATCTCGCCTAGTCCCAGTCATGGCTGGCCAGGGGGAAGGACCATGGGGAGGGACTGCAGGAGGTTGGCCAGCTTACAGGAGGTTGGCTATGGGAGCACACACTGATCACCAAGGGGACTGCTCCTGCGTTGAGCGTTTGCCCCCTGGTGGTCAGTGCATGTCATAATGACTGGTCAACTGGTCGTTCTTGTGGTTTGGTCATAACGGTCGCTTTGGCTTTTAGATAGATAGATAGATACCCATGATAAAGTTTAGTGTATAAATTAGGCACAATAAGAGGTCAATGAATTATAAATACACAATTATAACAACACTAGAGGCCCAGTGCACGAGATTTGTGCCCTGCGGCGGGGGCGGGTGGGGGGGGTCCCTCATCCCTGCCTGCACCCTCTCGCAGTCCTGGAGCCCTTAGGAGCTGTCCAACTGACTGCCACAGAGGTGAGAGAGGCTCCTGCCACTGCTGCTGTGCTCACCGGCCATGAGCCCAGCTCAGGGCTTCTGGCTGAGTGGCACTCCCCCTGTGGGAGCTCACTGACCACCAAGGGGCAGCAGCTCCTGCGTTGAGCGACTGCCTCCTGGTGGTCAGTGGCATCATGGCAACCGTTCGTGCCACCGTCCAGTTGATTTGCATATTACCCTTTTATTATCCTATATAATAAAAGCCTAATATGCTAAGTGTCCAGTCATCCATTCAACCAAAGCATAATATGCTAATGATATGCTAAGACCGCTCAACTGCTCGCTATGACGTGCACTGACCACCAGAGGGCAGACAGTCAACCAGTCACTATAACGTGCACTGAACACCAGGGGGCAGATGCTCCGGCTGGTAAATTAGCTTGCTGCTGGGGTCCAGCCGATTGGGACTGAGCAAGAAGGGCTGGACACGCCCTGGGGCCCTCCCGTGGTCCTTCCTCAGTTGGCCAACCTCCCTCGTCCCTCTCTGGCCCTGGGCATGCACCGGTGGGGTCCCTCAACCTGGCCTGCTCCCTCTTGCAATCTGGGCTGAGGGATCCCACCCCCACCCCCCGAGTGCACAAATTTCATGCACCAGGCCTCTAGTATAGGATATTATAATAAAATAACCATTTCAGTAATCTTGATGGCTACTAAGTGACTAAGCGGGGAAAGAAGGAGAGGATATTTTGGACAAAGGGATGATTCACGTCCCAGGCAGGATGGAGTAGGACAGCACGAGATTTCATCATGCTCTCAGAGCAGCACGTAATTTAAAACTTAGTTTATTTCTGAAATTGTCCATTTACTATATTAGGGCCAAGTTTGACTGCAGATAACTGAAATCACAGAAAGCAAAACCACAATAAGAGGGCCTATGGGTATGTGTATATGGTGTATATATATCACCATGTCTATACCATATACATGTTACCATATAAATGGTATATACACCTCATGTGGTGTGCGGCGTGTGCTGGAACCAATTGTGAGCCTCTCTTCCATGTTCTGCATTCCGCAACGACAAGTTGGTAGCTTGAAATCCACTCCATTGGAAATATTTGTACCATGGAAATTGAGAAATGCTACAAATCAGGACTTCTTACTCCTGGAGAGCAAGTTGTTAAACACACCAACGGCCCCACCCTGCCGTGGTTCTGATTATTGGGTCTGACTCCAGCGTCAGTGTTTTTTATGAACTCACCCAGTGATTGCAGTGTGCAGCAGGGAGGAGAGTGCTCAGCAAACACACACAACACGAGGTGTGAACATTTGAAACACAGAATATCGACGTTGATGAGGTACATGGGGGATACAAAACGCCACATGGGGGTGATTCCCGGAAGAGTTTTGATCTTGTTGTTTAGTTACAAAGGGAAAATGGAGACTAATTAGGGGAGAGAGAGGAAGATCTTACAGAAGAGATGAATGACATATTCAAAAGTGGAGAGACAGAAACAAGTCAGTCACAGGTGGAGACTGCTGAAACTGACTGCAATTGGGCAGCAGCACAGTGATAAAAGTGAAATAATAAAACGTCCTCCCAAGGCAATCCGGGATACCCGAGAAGCACAGCTGGGCCGGTTGGTCTTCACTGACCGGTCAGCTGTCTCACAGACCCTGCTCCAGATCTGCCCTTGAAAGGAGAGTTCAGACTCAGAAACGGGGAAAAAAAGAGCATGAGCTCATTGGGCTTCTTAATCTACATTGCCTGAGGACACAGTGATGAATTGTATAAACACGGGGACTACATGGAAGTTCACGGAGGATAATGTAAATTTTACACTGCATTTGAAAGAATCTCTTCCTTTTTCATCTGTTTCTTTCAAAAGACCCTCCCAGATGGCTTTCCCATGTGGCAGTCTGGATTACCTCAGGCTCGTATCCTTTCTTCATCAACAGTATTTGAGGGGTTACATTTAGATCCTGTTGTGAGGTGGTGAAGATTTTAGCACAAGTAAATATTTTACAGCTAAAGAAAAGGGCTCACAGTGTATGAGGAGACTGGGGTTTTGCTCTCCCCATCACGGGGCGAACTAATCTCTCTGTCCCCTATTTACCCACCTTT